ATATGGTGACCGCAAGTATGCTGCCCAATAGGGAAGTGTAATTGGCGGTCAGAAAGAAACCATAGAAGAAAATACAGGCGTAACTGAAGAAATTAAACACTGAGGGCGTGAGAATACCACCCGGCGTAGATAAGCCAACACTCAAGCAGACAGACTCCAAAATACTGTCGCTCAAATTGGTGCCAAGCCAACAGAACCAGAGGTATCTTGTCAGCAGCAGCGCTACAAATGTAATAATTATGCCAAGCCACACCAGTTCGTCGAATGGTTGTATTGGGTAGTACATAGTTGAGATGCTATTCCAAAGGGGCACCATGAGACACCAACGCACCACCATGAGCGGGTAACTCTTACCAAGCTCATCATCCTCTTTGAATAAAGCATAAGCGTGTGCCATTACATCCACTTTTTTGTGGCGTATGAGATCCAGCGCCGCCTTCATATCGATTACATTGCCGCCCAGATGATCTTTCGGCATTTCGTAGCTTACGAGAGTGGCATTACAGTAATCCGAAAATAACTTCAACAGTTCATAGCCTGGACCACACCAGATGGTTTGTGAATGTCTATTCTTATAACTGAAAACATGTGGTAGACTTTGAGCCAACGGTGTATATAATTTGTAGCCCTGTAAGTCTACGCCACCACTTATATGCTTATGTAACCCGTTACTTATCGTCTCGAAAAAATTTGTGAAATTTATATAATGAAACTGCGGATAGTAATAATAGCCAAAAAGCTCGTTGGTCCGGTTGCTGTTATAGTAATATAGTAAAACGTTTTCGAAATTACACTTAAACAAGCCTAACAACACTTGCTCCGCGACTTGAAAGTCATCCACCGTATTCACCATAATGACCAGGCTGAAGCGCTTGTGATGGCCTAATAACATAAGATCGTGTACATGCATTATGGGATCATCCGGTGCAGTGCAAAATACCACATTTATTGACTCCCTCCTTAGGCTCGTCTGTGGTAAGCGTAGATCGGTGCGGTTGCTCAGGACCGTCTGCGTGAGACCCAAGCACTCGCCTACCGTTATTATGAGCTCCTGCACGCCAACACCGTTCGCCGTATCCAAGTGCTCGCTGACATACCAAATGAGCTCTTGCATTTTTACCATCTTACCGAATTTACAAAGCAAGTTTATGTTGAATTCCACATCCCAGGCTCGCACTGACAGCGGTAGTTGCATGCACATCAAGCCCACCACCCAGAGTATACTCGTACGTTTTACGAAATTCAGTTGCATTGCTGATCCACCACTTTTAGACTTCAAAAGAAAACTGAAACATACATTTGGTTAATAGTTTTTCATAGTGAAATTATAGCTGATATTTGTAGAAAAATAAGAGGTCCATTAGAGACTAGTCATATTTTTTATTTGTTGGTTTGGCAGCGTTCAGTTGATATTGTTTGTGTAAGAGGGGCCAATGACACTAAATGATAATAAAATTATATAATCGTGTTGAGAATTGCTTAAACTTTACAAAGCAGCAGTCGTAATGTAATTATATGCGTTAAGGGAGACCTTTAGTTAGTTCTGTACAGAGTATGGAGAACTATTATGAGGTCTATAAATTTGAACGCTAAGATGACGTCATCAAAGCAAATAATAGATGCAGACACTTAATCTTATTACGTTATAGTTTCAAATAAACTAGCACTGGAGGATGGAGCCTTGTGTAGAAGTTCACGCAAGTGAGAAAAGTTCTTTTAGCGCCATTGGGAGTGGCCGTGAACGATTATTTTACATATGGCTCAAGCAGCTCTCGACTTCCAACCTTAGATCAAGTGTCCTTTGGGTAGTCAATGAATATCCGTTTGAAGGCGAGCTAAATTGAGGCTTAAGGTTGTGCGCTGGGTTTGGGACCCCCCACTTAAAAAACGCCCCCAATGAAAAGGTACAAACAGCCACGTAAGAGAAACCCCTCTTTTGATGACGACCATAGCTAATATAATAAGGACTATGATTTAAAGGCATGCACCTGAAATGTCTGGTCCCTTAAATACGAAGGTTTCACTGCCCAACTGATTGATGTCCTCGTAAAAATAAACGTTGACATCACCGCCATCCAAAAAGTGCGATGGACGGGACAAGGACTGAGACGAGTATGGCCACTGTAGCTATATAAAGGAGCGCAAATTCGGTGTGCTAATGATCATGGTGGGAGAAAGACTCCGTCGCCGTCTAGCCATAATCCACATCAAAGCGAAGATCTTCAACATATCGCTGAGAGAAGTACGATGGGATCAAAGATGCCATCTATGAGCGCTTGGAACCTATGAGAGCTGCCTCAACCACAATGTCAAAATCGTGCTTGCCGACTTTAACGACGGGATGGGCAAAGCAGGTATCTTTGGCACACCGGTCGGTAAATTCAGCCTTTATGATGAACTGATCGACTTCGCTGGGGCCCGAAATATGGTTATCTGTAGTACCAGATTCCAGCACAAGAAAATTCATCAACCCCTCTCCAGTGTTTTTGACGTGATTCTAACCTCACCGCCTGCCTATTGGCCAATGTGCAATAAGGACTCCTACGATATCGGACAGATGCACTTTGCAAGAAAGTAGATCTGAAGTTCATGAGCGCGTTGTCGACTAACGCCAACCAATGCAGCTCCAACTCAGTCCCCTTCCGCTATGAGCGGGGCAAGAACTCTCTGACTAGCTCATCGGATTTGCAGTTTCCAGGCGATTCTGGTATGACCAAGCATTCAAACCAGTCCAATAATGAAATAGTTTGACGCTTTTTCTTTTGAGGACATTAATTTCTTTACAAACTTCTGCCTGAGAAACATTAAAGTTGTCTGATAGCCAAAAGTAAATATTGACGAAGAGCTCCTTACAGAAAGCTCCTCCTGTCCTCCTAGCTTCTAGCCATCCATGAAAAAGGTCACTGCGCGTCTATTCCAGCGACTCCGCCCTATTTATATATCCTTTGCAGAGGGAAAACCGCCACGTTAAGGCTCTGCGACGCAGTGATCCAAGCTTTCAGGAATGCAGTTGAAGTAGAAAGAAGTTTCGCCGTGTGCTAGTTCGGACCCTTCATAGGCCCTACAGCTGCTCTACAGCAATGTAAGGCAAATCAAGATTTTCTTACTCTCTTCTCAATATTTCGCCTCCACAAAAGCTTTCTATCACGGATAAGCCCTTTTCAATAAAAATATTTAAATCTAGAAAAGCAGTTTATATGGGCGAATTCGGGTCAAACTTGATATTGAGTATATGTGGAAAGTAATATTTTGATTGATTGAGTATTTCTGGCAATTATTCCAATTTGAACGCGAACTCGACCAAAAAGTCTTTGCGAGTCGTTAGAACAATAAGTTGGGCAAGTGTATGACGAAAAACAGAAGACTTTTATACTTCTGAAATCAGCAAACTTTGGTCACAGTATATCGTTTACTAAATATATCTAGGCTTAGTCTTTGAAATTTGTATCAACTAGTTTCAAGACATCAAGAAAATAGTAAAGACATGTCGTTACGAGTAATTGCCAGATTTTTAGCCAAGGTTCTCTAAATAGTTTCCTTTTATGTCTTGATTTTGCACTGTAAATGAAGGATTATACGAATTTTTTGTCACTTCTTGATGATCTTTAAAATAAAATCTTAAGATTTAAGTTTTTAAGCTATTTTTTCTATAAACTTTCCGTCCAACGTGTACCGCAACGGACGTGGTTCCATAGCAGTCGGGTTTCCATAATCAGTTTCGGATTTATATCGACCGGGTATATTTGCTCTGATATATAATGGTTCCTGCCGTTTCTATAACAAAATTTATAAAAGCGTCGGAGACCCTGTAAACTATTTATGTATAATATATAATATAATAATCGGCGATCTGAGTTTATTTAGTCATATCCGTCCTACGCGTACTCGTCCTTTAGTATTCGAGATATTGATCTGAAATTTTACACACGTATTTTTATAGCGAAGAAGCCGTTTAGTTGACGGAATCGCTGATATCGGAGCACTATACCGTATAGCTGTCATATAAACTGAACGATCAAAATTACATCCTTGTAGGGAAAACTTGTTTAAATGACAAGATATCTTCACTAAATTTGGCATGCATTATTATCCAAAACAACTGTATAATCTCCGATCAAATGGTGCAGTTCGGACCACTATAACATATAGCTGTCATACAAATTGATCGATCGGATTCTAGTTCTTGTAAGGAAAACTTTTTTATTGAACGAGATATCTTCACGAAATTTAATTTGAATTCATATCCAAATCAGTGCTACAATCACCGTTGAAATGGTTCAGATCAAACCACTTTAACATATAGCTGTCATACAAACTGATCGATCAAAATCAAGTCCTCGTATGGAAAATTTTGTCATTTGACGAGATATCTTCACAAGATTTGGCATGAATTATTATCGACGGGAAGGCTATAATATGTGAAGAAATTTTTCAAATCGAACCAGTATAGCATATATCTGCCATACAAACTGAKCGATCAAAATCAAGTCCTCGTATGGCAAACTGTTTTATTGGACAAGGTATCTTCACCAAATTTGGCATGAATTAAAAACAAAAAGAACAAATAACTGTATTTTTTATTTTTATGCACTTTTTTATATGTGTATTTATTTGCTACGTATGTATTTACAGTAAATTTGCACACAGACACAATAATAATAGTTATAATAATAAATTAACGCTAGAATTATGTATGTAGATATATATGTATATATGCGTAGCTTCGCACGCCCTGCTTCTGCTGATATTTAAATATATTGTCCTTCCGTTACTGCTACATAATAGACAAGGAAAGCTTGTTGTTGCCATTTTTACTAAACCTTCAACTATAAAAAATAACAGGAAATATTTTATAGAAAAAAATGTGTATGTGTGTGTTTAAAACCAACAATTACGGAATGTAAATTTAAAATTTACGAAAACAAAATAAATTATTCGCAATTTGTGTGTAAATATTTGTATTATACATATAGATAAAACTTGAAAAACAAAAAAAAAATCTTTTGACACTGAATAGAAATAGTATCATTATTTTTATATAGCGCATTTGTCAAAAATATTTTTTTGCACACATTCGCTATGCAATTGCAACAATGCTTTTAATTCTTTTTTTTTCATAACACAAACCATAACCAACCACAATCCTTTTAGGCTACACTTCTACTTTTCTTAGGCTTAAAAAATAACGGGAAATTTTTAATTAAAATTTTTGCATTTCCAACAACTTTTCATTATAAAAGATGTTTCACTTTGCATTTTGCAACCACACACACGCGCTATATTTTGCACAACACTGTTGCACTGTGTATGTAATGACGTTTGTTACTTATTTATATATGCTTGTATATGTATATATGTAATACGTTAACTGTAATTAACTGTTAGACGCAACCTATGGCTGGCCATAGAGCATTTCCGAGCCAGGCGGTATTGAGCTGGGATCTACGCTGGCATTAAAGTAGCTCGCTGGTGAAGCGAAGACATTTGTCAACGCTGTTGGTGCTGCTGTCAGCTCCGGGAGGCGACCAGTGGTCGGTGTTGATAAGTTATAAGGATTTTTCAGATACTCTTGATAGATGTCGTTTTCGCCACTTTGTTGTTGCTGCAGCGTCGGGTATTGCATAGCAATATTCGCTGCGTAGCTGGAGACGATGGCAGGATTGGTTTGTTGTTGTAGTAATTGTGTTTGTTGTAGTTGTTGGTGCGTTTGCCTGCTGCTTTGCATGGCGATGTAGGGAGCACTGGTGTAGGAGGGATGTTGTTGGATGGGCATTGGCACATTTTCGGACATCGGCGCATCTACAGCGGCCTGCTGTTGTTGTTGTTGTTGCGCGTGCGCCTGTACAGTTGCTGGGTGTAAGGCGCTGGGCTGCTGTCCATCAAGCGCATATTGATTGTACAAAGCGTGTTGTTGTTGTTGTTGTTGTAGCAAGAATTGTTGGTACTGCCGCTGCGTGGCCGCTGCCTGAGCAGCAATGTAATCCGCATACTGCTGTTGCTGTTGCAATTGCGGCTCATGACTCTCTTGTTGTTGTTGTTGCAACAATTGCGTGTTCGCCTCGGCGGCCGCTGGTGGCGTTTCCGGCAACTCAATAGCGTACGAATAACTGCTGTAGATATTATTTTGCGTCGTGTTATTGACAACAATCGCCGGTTGCGGCTGTGTTGCCGGTGCTGCCGGTGCTGACGTGTTCGTTGCATGCTGCGTTTGTTCCACGGCTGTTGGTGCGCTCACCAACGACAACTGTGCTGTGTCATGCACTAAATCAGGTAAACTGGCTGGCGCAGTGACGCCAGCTGCGGCGGGCAAAGCTGTCTCCGACACGCTTTGTGGCACAATGCTGGGCACTGGACGCACCAGCAGTGGCGTGTCATCCAACAACAATAGCGGATTGGTTGTGATCGGCGAAGCGGCCAATGAGTGACGTGGTGAGGCGGCCCCCAAAGTGTGACGCTGCACGCTGCTTAACTGTAATTTGTAGGTTATTTTAATATTATCAAATCTCGGCCTCTGCCAAAGGGAAAGCACTTACTTGCTCGGCGGAGTGTGGTCGTTGCGCGTAAGTGGCTTCCACTGCACCTGTGGAGACATGCGAAGCTGTTGTGGTGACTGGCAGCACCAGCGGTGTGGGCGGCAACAGCACCGGTGGCGTGTCTGCTGGTTTTATTGCTGAAATGCTGTTTGGTGCGCTGGCCGTTTCGGATGCTGCGGATGCTGCATTGGTCACAGACATCACTTGAGCGCGCTTATCTGAAAGCAAAAACAAGTGTGAGACGTGTGTTAATAAAAAAAAAAAAACATAGAAGAGAAAAGAAGTAATTTTGAGGAATGGTGCCAAGTTGGCTGTCCTTAAGCCAGGTCCGTTTCGGTTACTTAGACCCGACTGTCGTGGGAACTGTTGTTGTTGTTGTTAGTTAAGTTAGATAAGTTGTCGTCAACGTCATCCAACGATAGGCCCAGGAAACATTCTGTTTCGGCTGGGTAGGACCAAAGGGAGAAAGGTGCCAGTTGTTTAGGGCAAGCAAAATGTAGGATGCAAATGAAGTAGTAGTTTAACCTGCTGCAGTATCCAGAACGAAGCTGCGCAAGCGTCACTCCCTTTTCACGAGGCAACAAGCGCTCTTTGTTTGCAATGCGTGGTGGTTTGACTCCAAGTGTGGCATTCACTTAGAGAGAATCGGTCAAGGTGTTAATGGCTCCACTGTGAATGGCGTTCAGTGCATATCTGAAGTTAGTTCCGACCGAAGTTTGGTCGGCGTATTGTTTAATGTCGTCGACGTAGTTGAAAAATGACCTATCGACGCTCCTAGAAGGCTATTCCGCTCCAAACAGGAGACTGCAGTGCTGACTCCTGCAAAGACACCCCAGCAGAAACTGTTTGGAGAAGAATTCATTATGCATTTAACTGGTAGGATACGCTCCTCACGTTGCAGGTGTTCGATGGCATATATCATTATCTGGAGTGCAGTGTTCTTACATGCTTTTAGCTTGCTCGACCTCGTTTCACTGCATCCAGGCTACCATGTTGGTGCGGCATAGTTGAGGATCGGCCGGTCGATTGCCTTAAAAGTTGCTAACAACGTATCTTTGTCTTTTCAGATGTGCTGCCGCCTAACGAATGGACGATAATTTGCGGCTCTGTACTTTGGCGATTTAGTGGGGGCAGTCTTAGGTTCCGTGCAGCGAAAAAACGAGAAATTTTGGAGAGATATCCGTTTACGTCTGAGCACATGTCATCGATTCCATTGCCCGACGTCATTATCGTGCAATCATCAGCGTACGAGTTGATAGAAATTACCTCTATGGTGTACTTTTCGGAAGCCATGCTGATGATGCGCTAGCCTCAGGTGGTGCGTGAAGGTCGGGAGTAGCAAGGTTTCAAGTGTCTTCGCTACTGGGAATAGTTATCGGACGATAGTAATTCACTTTATGGTGGGTTTGCTAGGTTTCAGTGATGGGACCATTCTTCCGATTTTACACACATGGGATATTTGAAGAGTGGCCAGCGACAGGGTGAGTACCTTAGTGAGGTAGCTTACTACCGGTTTACATACTATTTTAGATTGGTTAGTTTTTTAGTCGTGGGAACGGACAACAATTACGGTCATCGCAGCGGCTTTCCACAAAACATTTGGGCAACTACCTTTTAAGAAATGTTACTACACGAACGACTAGCACAAAGAGTATCACAACTGTTCCTACTGTAGTCGATTCTAAGTTATTGGAACGGACCCGGACTTTTATCGGGTTTAGGACGGTAAACTCGGCAGAATTCTGTCGTTATAACAACAACAACACAAGATTATCACAATCGTAAAAGCTAATGGCTTAAAGGTAAATAATTTTGACAGATCAAGCAAAAATTTAACATAACCTCAAAATTTAATTTAATTATGATAACGCGTGAAAGAAACATAAACTTGTGGTTTAGTAAAACATTAACGGAAAACTTTTACAAAGTTATTCCTCGAAAAGCACTAAACTAAAACTAACAAAACACAAAAACAAAAGAAAAAGAAAAACGAAAAATTAAAAAAAAAAATATTAATAAAACATAAACTA